ACCACCGGCACTCGGGGACTGCCCAAACTGGCTCTGCTGGGGGGTTCTAATCCCAAGCCACGTGGAATTGCTCTTTCAGCACAAAGGGCAGTACGTGGCATTGCTTCATGCTGCAGAACTTGTATGTAGGAGATGTTTGCTGTTGTGGTATCGTCTTCTTGGTCATAGCTGCTAGGACTACGTAGTTCGAAAGGACCATCCTGAGTCTGTAGGAAACACTTGCATTTTCCCCATTGCCTGTTTCACTATGATATCTCTTGCTGCTTGTGAACGTTACGAGTATTTCTCTTTCTGCTGCTTTTGATTCCTCTTTCTCTGTTTGGTGTTGCTGATGTGGCCTCAAAAGGAACGGAAGCTCCAGGAAATGTTTCTGACAAAGTGCTGCTCTCAAGTGAAATCTTTCATGATTGCCTGGGAAGGCTGCAGTCGGTAACACTGGTTACTGTGCAGGTAGATGCCTGCGATGGCTTCTGCAGGGCTCGCAGGCGATGTGCCCTGGACACATGGGCTGGAACACTGAGGGCACTGGCAGGGGACTTGGAGCAGTGCTGAGGACTCCATCGGCGGTGAGTAGTGTTAATTAGAGCAGGAGCCCTGTGTGCCTTCACTGTGCTGTAGGCAGATGCGTGTCGCATGGACAAACCTTGGTTCTGTGCTGAAATGCCTGTTAATAATCTCATATAAACACCAGCCTGGACAGCTTCTGGAGGTAAAAATATAACCAGGTGGGAATTCAAAAAGAACAACACCTATTGCAAAACTCTCTCTAATTAGACCCCAAGGTGGGAAGGCATGAAGCCTGTTCTCTGTGTAACCATTGCACGGTTAAAGCACTAAATTCTTAGCTGCTTTTTTCAAACCTGTTACCCAGCTGCAGTACTGGTGGTGTCTGGTAGGGCCAGGGGCCAGGGGCAGGAGGTAGAGCTTTGCACTCTGATTTTAGCCTATAGCCTAGGTGCGTGGGGTTGGCAGGGTGCTGCTGGCTTCCGCTGTCTTTGGGAGAGCATATCAGCTTTCTGCTTTCTTGTGCTTGCATATGAAACAACACATTTAGAAAGGAGAAACAAAGACAGTAAAGCCTGCCAGAGCTTACCGGAGCTTTGTTTAAAGAAAAGAATAACTGCCTGTGTTTCCCATTCTGGGCCTAAAGCAAACATGACATGCAGAGATAAAATGGAGAAGGTGTTTTTTGGGGGTTGGTTTTTTTTGTTGTTGTTGTTTTTTTTTCTTCAAATGTAGCTTTGAGATTTCTTCCTATAATTCTTTCTGTAAAACATAAACCCAAACCAAAAAAACAATGGTTGAGAGCACTTCTGGAGGATTTTGTTAGGAAACTGGAAACAGCTTTTGGACAGCAGCCTTGCAGAGAGGATACAGATTGTCCGGCACTGGTTTAGTCTAAATGTGCTGCTGAGGCCCAGTGGGACCAGGCTCTGCCTGCTGGCTCCTGGGGCCTCTGCGCTGCCAGTGCTCCTCGGTCGGGTGGCTGTTCCTCGCTGTGGGGTGCTTCGTTCTGGGGTGAGCCATCCCAGAGTCAAAAACGAAGCCAGGTGAAGCTGTGTTTCAGCTGCATTTCTGCTGTAACGGTCTGGACCTCTTCTGTTGGCAGAAATAATTTTGCCTTAAACTGCTGAGAACAAAGTGCTTGGTCTCCATAATACAGATCAGCACTGTTTATTTTTTCTCTTTAGACACCTTCGCAGGTATCAGTCTTCCGTTACTGTCATAAGCACAGATGCTGTGGCTGAGGATGCTGGCTGTTAAGCACTTCTGAAAGCCTGGATGTAATGGTAGCCAGCTTCTACACGATGCCCGCGGCTCTGCTGCTCCCGCTGGCTTCGGGACTGCCGAGTGTCCCGTGCCAGACTGACGCTTCATTTCTTTGGTAGCTTCCTGGATGACTTGTCGCACTTGCAGTGATGCAGCCTCTTTCAACACTGTTCTGGTAGTGAAAGCACACATCCGTCAATCACACAGTTTGTTTACAGAACAAAAATTCACCACTGGGAAGATTGCTTTTACTGATACACATTTGCGGGCGTGTGCCTGCAGGCTGCTGAGAGCGGTCGAAGCTGTGCTGCAGGTGCTACCGAGCAGCAATGCCCAGTGCTGCTGTTCATGTGTTACTGCTGTGGAGGGGTTACGTCCACAGGGGAACCTGAGCAAGCTCTACATCCGTGAGAAGCATTATGGAAAAGTTACTGTGTGTTTGGGTTATGCTTGCTGCGCTACCCAGGCTCAGCACAGCTCCTTTCCATGATGCGGGTGCTCTGTGGGAAAAGGGGTGTCCTCACTCAGCCCTGAAAATCAGAGAGGCTTCCTGGAGTGCATCCTCAGCAACCCGTGCCATCTCCTCATTTCGTGTGCTGAGAGTGGAGTGATAGATTGGTGGTCTTGGCAGAGATTAATTATTCTGGAAGCATTGTTGGACAGTACAGTGCTCTGCTTCTGGAAATCAGGCAGGTTCGGTGCACCTAAAGTAGGTAATAAAATACATTGAATGTACTTGCATTTTGTTAAGCTGTAGACATTGTACCCACCTTCAAGGGTCATGGCAGTTGTCGTTTTCCATCAGAGGACATGTGGCTGTCTTCTGGTGTCTTCCAGCCTGGGACAGGGTTTACAAAACTGGCT